GAGTCAAGCTCCCACAGACGCCGGCCTGCCTCTCTCGCTTCCCCGCCCCTCCTCGCCCGCCACACACACACACATACACACACACACACACACACACACACCCTCCTTCAGGAAGGGGTCCTCCCCCATCCGCCCCTCAATAGATGTCTATTAAAAGCTGCTGACGTTGGAAGCGACGGCCATCTTTGATGAGGGCAGAGCTCCCATTCCATTGAAGAAGGAGACTTGGGGAGCTCCGGAGCGGCTGAGCTGACTTTCTCTCCACGGCAGCCGCACGCCCCGGTCTCTCTCGCAACCTTCCGGCCGAGGCAACCGACGCGAACTCTCCTTGCAGCCAAGGTAAGGGAGAACAACGGCGAAAAGCCTCCTGTCTTTCCTCGGGAAAGCCGGATCTCTGTTGCCCAAGGCGTGGAAGAGAGGGAAAGAGATGGCTGGCTGGGTGGAGAGCACTAACCTCCCCATCCATGTTGTTGTTTTTGAAATTGCCAACCAAGAGGAAGAAGGAGAAGAAAACAAGTCTTCCTTTCCTCTTTGGCTTTCTTAGAACATAGGCGCAGATTTTTATTGCTTAGTAGGCTCCTGACATCTTAGCTGCGGTTGAGTGTGCGGGTGAATGTTGTTTTCCTCTCTGAGGGTAGGGTGGAGAGCACTAACCTCCCCATCCATGTTGTTGTTTTTGAAATTGCCAACCAAGAGGAAGAAGGAGAAGAAAACAAGTCTTCCTTTCCTCTTTGGCTTTCTTAGAACATAGGCGCAGATTTTTATTGCTTAGTAGGCTCCTGACATCTTAGCTGCGGTTGAGTGTGCGGGTGAATGTTGTTTTCCTCTCTGAGGGTAGGGTANGTTTCTCACCCCCCGCCTCTCGTTCATCCTTTCCAACATTTTGGAGCATGGCTGTGTTCTGCTTACCCAGCAAGGTGGCTGGGTCGGAAGCGGTGCGTGTGTGCGTGTGTATCTCGGGGGGGGGGGCTGTGGAGGGATGTCTAGTGGCGATTTCTCGCTGCCTCTTGGCCGGCCGTCTTCGACTGCAGATGCCGGTTTCAGCACCCTGGACAGCGTCTGATGGCGCGGCCCCCTTGTCGCAACGGCCGCAGAGATCCATCAGGACAGCCTGCGCAGCTCGAAGCTGGACTGCGGCAGCCAGCTGGGATTCAGCACCTCGGACAGCGGGGCGCCGTCCACCCTGGGACTCCAGTCCGCGTGCCAAAGAGGCGATCCAGGGTGGGCATTGTGGACCGTGCTTGCTTGGTGCAGAGAGAAGCTATGAGAATGCAAACACCGCAAAGTGCGCGGGAGGGGGGCAGGAAGGGGGGGCGAAACGGGACCGAACTCCCTCTCTTTCTCTACCGAGTCTACTCACACGCACTAACAATATGTGGCTCGCATTAAAGTAAAGACGATTTAGTACTTCGTTCCCGGCTCCTCTTCCCCTCTGGATCAATACTCATCTCCTCCCAGCGGTTGCTCTGTTTGCACGCCATCACCTTGCCTCGGGTTGTGCTCGAGTCTCTCAAAACATCCGCATTCACCGCCATCTAGGAAAGAGGGAGCCTTCCCCGACCTCTGTATCGCAGAAGCCTCGGCGTTTTTCTCTTCTCCTTTCCTTTTCCTTCTTTTTCGTTCCCTCCTGTTTCCGGCCCCACCCTTACAAGAAGGAGTGGGTTCTCGTGTTACACCGAGGAAAGCCTGCTATTAAGTAACTCAGTAATTATAATGTGAAAAGAAAAGTGACGGGGGAAGCGAAAGAAGGGAGCGGGAGACTGTGGTAAGCAAATGTTTTACGTCTTCAAACTGCAATATCAGAATCCTGCTTGTAGCTTCTTCTTCTTTTTTGCTCGGTTTTCAAGAAGTTGGGTAAGCCTATGAAGGAGGGAACCCGGAACCCTTTTTATTTCCTATGTTTAAATTTTGAATGACCGACGTGGTGGGCTTAAGGATCACACTGCGTGACACTTCTGCCCGAATTTGGGAAGCACGCCTAATCCCCGCGGCCGGTATTTTTCCTGGAGGTCCGCTGGAACAACTTCATTCATCTTTTCGTGACTGATGCCAGCGCCTACTACAGCAACATGTCGGGAGGCCATTCTTAAACAGGATTATGGGCAGCAGCACTGGGAGGGGGGAGCAGTCTTTTGGGAACAGGAGACGGGGGGGGGAGAGGGAGGGAGCTCAGAGCTGAATGTATGAAGATAAGCTATCCCACCCTCTCCCCTTGCCCGGAGGGGAGGGAGAGGAGCCGAGCGAAGACTCCCCCGGGGCTCCCACGTACTGCAGATCTCCTGTTAAAGGGCGTGAGTGCCATCTTATGTAACAGATCAGCCGGGTGTCTAACGCAGCGGTCGGGCTGCTGCCGGAGCAAATGCGGTTTCCCGATGATCACGGATGCTTGGCTGTGGAGGAGGTCGCTTTGCACCGGTGGGAAAGGGGCAGGCTGATGACACGAGGGGAGTTTTCTAGAGAGGCTGTAAAAAGCAAGCAAGCAAACGCAAGGGAAGAACCTGGAGGAGGACATCACGACCGGGAGGTTTATACTTCCTCAAACAGCTCCAGGCCAAACAGCTCTTTGCGTCCATTTGCGTCAAAGGCAAGCCCTACGTGCCCGAGCAGCCCTGATGATTTTCCTGAGAAGTTGTGTCTGTCTCTGTGTGCCGACCAGTGTGGTTGTGTTTCCTGACAAAAGGAGAAAGAGAAGGGGAGAAAGAAGCCCGCAGTGTTTACGGGGGGGGCGGGGGGGAAGCAGCCTCCTGGGCGCTTCCGCTCCGGGACTGGTATTAAAACTAAGCGACCTGGATTTCTGTAAGAGGAGCG